CTAGCCCTATTTTTAGGCCTCAGCTCGAAAATTGCATACCCATACTCAAGAGAGTCCCCAGCTCTAACTACAAGGTCTATTTTAATAATTTTGATGGTCAATACAGGTAACACTTGTGAGATGTGTTGAATTGTGTAAATATTGTGTACATGTTACTGGTTAATAACTGATACACTTATGGCACAGCTCAAGTTGAAAAACTTCCAGGTTCGCCTGAAAAAAAAGCACTTTCATTGAACATTTTTTTGGAATTATTGCAGAGTGAAGCCTACAAATACTCCTGTGTCATAGCACAACAGGGTTGTGGTCTCTCTAAGCTAATTTTACTTAGATTGAGTGAAGCAGGCCAGCATAATAGGAGGTCTGAGTACAGAATTTCAAGCCGAATGCTCATTTCTCTCTCATGCTCTATTCTAATTTTATATTAGAATTAGCCCCCCTAAAATAGGCCTAACGACGCCCCTGGTGACAGGTAAAGCCATTCCATCATCTCATCTCTATTAGGCGGACGCTTTTCTTTGATATCATGATATCAGTTTCTGTCAATGTTGTGCAATTGTTTGATTCATTCAATCTTTAATTGATCAGGTTTCATTCAGTGATTTATATCAACTGTTTGGTACGTTTTTGCAGCTGAGATAGCACACATTTCAAATATGGAAGAATTAAAACTAAAATGTAAGTAATAGTATTAATTCGGTAAAATAAGGTTAAATTAAATAATCAAGATAATAGTTAAAATGGGAGTGGTTTTGCTGTTCCTGTCATACAACTGCACCCCTTTCTCAAGAAGAAAAAGCAAGAAGACGTCAGTTCTCACTCTCTTCTACTCTGGACTTCGACTCTGGTTTTTGAAGCTGAAGGGTGTTCTCTGAAGATTTATTCCAGTAAGATACTCTGAAACCACTCTGAGATTAAATACTTTTTAAAATGGCAAAGGTGCCATAATGACCCCTGCTGCTACAAAAAGATGACTCAGCATCCCGCTGAGAGAGATGAAGACGAGGAAGAACAGTGCAAGCCGAACCTCAATGAAGAAGACGACCGGGTTCTGAAGATATCAGAGAAAGCCGAATCAATTGCCACTGAGCGAAGGATGGTAGAGAGTGATTCAACAAACTACCAATCGCACTCTTTCAACTGTCAAGCAGGAGAGAGGCCCACAGAGGAACAACCACTGCTGCATGCAGCTCAACCTCCATCAGAGCCGTCAGGTGAAACGATAGCATCTCCAGACGTAAATGAGTTTGCTGTTCCTAGGAAAAATGTATTTAAGTCAGTTAACAAAATAATCTTAGCTAGAAATATCTAATGAGACCTAATGATTAAATTCAATTTAAAACTAATATAAAGGTGTTTCACAATCTTCCCTGGTGCTTCTCAAACTCAGCTGCTGAACGTTGCACAAATGATTGGAGCCAGATTTAGGGTATAAACGTCGAACAACAGATTTAATTGATAGATTAATGATATAAGTTACTGATCCTACCTGTTCACATGTAACCCTTTTCATTTAGTTGTGGTTCATCGTTATGCATTGTACTGTTCATCATATCCTTCAGTCATTCATTTTATTTATTTGATCCTTTCTTCATTTATTTTCTGTTTAGTAGTTAAGTTATGCAGTTAGTCAAATAAATATTAGTGCTGGGCAACGATTAAAATATTTAATCGCGGTTAATCGCATGGATTTTTTATGGCATTGTTATGGCAAAGTTCAATAATGAATTCAAAAGTAGTGTATTGCGCACTTTTATTTTAAAAGTACTGCTATATGAACAAAAGGGCAATAACATTTGGTTCACAAGATGCAGGTAGCATGTTTTATACTTAATGTGAATATAATTCATACTTTGTTGGCATCTTATTCTGAAAACCGGATGTTCGTCTGAAGAAACCGGATGTTGTCTCACGTTAATCTTTCCGCTAACTTTCAAAGGCCTTCGCTTGCTCCTGATCTGTGCCGTTTAAATGCGTTTACCGTGAATGTCAGCATATAGGTGCACTAAAATTATTGACTATAGGATGTTTGCCGGCTTTTATCCCACTGTTCTTGTCATCCTCTTGTTGTTATGTATATGTATTGTCTCTTGTCTTTCAATTAACAAAAAATAAATAAAAATAAAAATTATAATAAATTTAAAAAATGCGTTAACGCGCGATAAAATAATTGTCGGTGTTAATTAATGAATGCGTTAACGCGAAATTAACGCGTTAACTTGCCCAGCACTAATAAATATTTAATTCATAAAGAAATTGATGATTTGATTTGTGTGTACATGAAACACTAGGTCCCTGTACATCTTGAAAAGAACTCCGTAGCAACCATGAGATTCAGATTTAATGGTTAATATCAAAATTTTGAAGTTTTCCCTATTTTTCCACAATTGGGTGGCGTCCAAATTTGAATCTTCAGTTAAATTCTGTTAGTTAAACTAATGGTGGCTCATGGCATAAGCCGAGTGCCATCAATCTTTTGTACTAATGTATGGTTTATAAGTCAGAATTGAATTAGTTATAATCGTTGCATATCTTGATATTCATCAATCATTATTTATTAAATCTGCTACCAGCAAAGCTACAAAGATGTCTCAATAGAGTAACATTTTTTGGTGTTTAAAAAAAATTTGAATTTCTTTTTCTGTAATATTACTGAGTTCAACATCACTTTACTGCTAGTGTGTCATCGTATCATTATTGGACCAACGTGATGTCAATATTGTATTTTGGTTGTTGACTTGTAATGACCCAAGGGGGGGTGGGGGTGGGGTGGGGGGGGGGGGGACCTGGAGCATCATTTCACATGTTTTTGCCAATAACAGATTAGCATGAAAAAAATGAAATATATTTAACTGATACAAGTGGTACAGCAAGAGTCTGCAGGTGGTATTGTTGTTGTTGAAGCATTTTAATTAGAATTTCAATTATTTCCAAAGAAGAGATTAAACTTTTTTCTATAAATTATACTGAGATTTGTTAATGGTATAATTCAACCAATTACTCTTATTTTTTGATCTTCTTTCCTCAAAACTAGAATGAGCATCCTCTGCCTCTATGGAGCAGCCTCCTCTGATCTGGATGTTTATAAATGGCTGAAGTGTCAGTCTTGGAGTGACAGATGCATTTACCTCTTTTAAACATCCACAAATGGTCCATTTCAGTAAATGGACCATCATTTACTGAATGAACAACATGCTGTATTGAAGAAGACTTGAAATTAGCGATTGAAACCATGAACTCGTGTTTTTGTTCATGTAAACAATGTTTACGGAGGTAATAAATCAAGTGAGACGCAGGGTCATTTTCTCAGACTTCTACACAATTGAACCTCTTTTTGCAACCAGGGTCGCTAGCTATTATAAAGAATTCAGGATTGAGACACTTCCGCATTGGCTTCACTTTTTGGAATGAGAACAGTTATATTAATCAACTTAAAAATATTTATTTCATCATAGCAAACAGTCAGTTTTGGCTGGTTAGGGTTTTACATCTACATTGTTTTCTACATCATGTACATCATTTTCAAATTAGCTGACATTTATATTGTCAAATTCAATCCAACTTTATTTCAGACACATGGGTCTATATAAAACAATGTGGCTCACAGTTTGATTATTGCGGAAGTTTCAACAATAAAAGCTACATAAATGCATCACTGGAAATAAAACACTGTTCCTTGCTGAGCTTTGTTTAGGCAGCTAAAAGACATAAGCATGAATGACCCACTAACAATATTGGCATCCACACATATTTTTGTAAACAATATGGTCTTGAATATTTTTTAAATTAATTCTCATCAGTGCATCATTAACTTTCTTGTCTGTTTGACTGCTGCATGTTTGCAAAATACGGACTGTAATGTGTATGTATACAAATGATGTACCATCCTGCGGAGGTGCTATTGGTCCATAGTGAGAGAGAACACTTTCAGAAATCAGGATGCTCATCATGAGCATTTTGTTTGATTTCCTGCATAACCTGATTGCTTTGACAGACATACAGCCTAAGCTACAGTCTAAATACAGCTGATAACGGCAGTCTCTCTTACACTCTTTCTTTTTTAAATAGATGTTCTACCACCATCTAACAGAGAGCCTTCTAATGAGAATACCAAATGTGGACTCAAGCTAGCCTTTTCTTGGCCAGCTGGCACCTATACTGATCCCGTTATTCAGTCCACACTGTGCAGTTACATATCTGAGATACTAACACACTTCGGCCATCATGCATGCTGTCATACAATGCTTATTAAGCTGCATTCAGCCTATTGCATTAGCCTTTTATCCAGAATAACTGTACGCAGCTTATTCCCCACACTGCAGACATATGTGTGTCTTGTGTATCAGTAGACAAAATCAGCTGCAGTCTCAGTCTGTCAAAATGCACATAAGCACACACGCTGTGTTCGAACTGAAGAGCTGGGACACTTCCTCCCCCACCCTCAGGATCTGTAAATAGACCTGCTTGGTCTGGTAGCTGCAGCTGCCTGTGTGTATCTACCATGGTTTGACCCATATGAGCCTTTAAAGGCCAGTGCCGATATGCCATTTTTAGATTTAAGATGCTTATAGACAGAACTATATGCTGAGTCAGTAGCCTTAAATCTTATACATTATGTGCCAAAAAACAATATACGTATATGATCAAGTGTTGCCTTCTGAAAGCCTGTTAAATCACCCATCAGCTGATGCTTTGAATGCTATCAGAATAAAACATTTGGTTGGATAGACGCAACTAAAAGCTTTGCATTTGTTTTTGCTGGTTTCATTATATCTGAATAAAGTTTTTCCTCACCACAGTAGATACATTTTCTCAGTGAGACATCTAACAGATAAGTAACAAAGTGTTCATATCAGCCTGATTTATGGACAAACCTATGAACTGTATGGTCTAATCCTAGCATTCCTCTCTCTCTCTCTCTCTCTCTCTCTCTCTCTACTCTTCCACTCCTCCCCCTCATTTGGTCCCTTATCCTTTCTGCTTGTCTTCTGTTAAGTCTGTTTAGTTTCAGGTCTTCTTTCTTTCCCTCCTTGTCTTTCTTTACATATCATATTTACATATTGTCTTTTCCACTTTTAATTCTTTACACATAGATTTTCTGAACCTACAGATTCTCTAGACAATCATACTTTCACCATGGCTGACAAAGGTAATTCGCTAACGAGAAGAAAAGAGAGAAAAGAAGAAGTGTCTGCTGAATTGACCAAGGATGTACAGAAAATGAAAGATGGAGGAGAGCGTGCAGCGGATAACGGAGAAGTCCCTTCAGCTGAGGCGGCAGCCTCTGATGGTGCAGTAGCTAGCAGTCAGGATGGAGATCTTCAGGTTGAGCCAATGGAACTACCTCCATTTGAAATCATCCAAGGGTAGGTCATATCAAAAAGTATGGTTCAATAAACGGTTTCATAGACAGAGTCAAGGATGAGCATGGCTGAGTTACCTCATTCTACATGTGCTTTATTTCCAAAGTTTCTCTTTTGCTGAAGATGCCTTTCATTGTGCTGACAATGGTGAGAGGATAGAGAGGATCCACTAATCCCACATGATTGCACTGACAACCAATCAGAGTTGACTTGAGTGAACTGCCTGCCATTAAAAAGTGAATCTTAACCTTTACATTCCCATGGTGGAAACATTTGAAACGTACTTTGCCAAGTGATAATGTGATAAACCCAATGAAATGTCCGTAATGATAGAGACGTTGTTTTGCAGGTTGTTATAATGCAGTTATTACATATCCAAATGTATATTAAGACCAACCTCTAACTTTAATTAGAAACCTACAAAAAACTCCTACTTAGCACACTTTAAAATAAAAGCCATACAAACGTTTTGCTTTTACACGGCAAATCAGCTTCATTAGATGCTTGAGTGTTGAGGAAAAACCTGGTTTAATAGAGTTCGAATTTACAAGCATGATTTATGTTGTTTAGTAGAGTCTCACTAACATGAGTGTGTTGTATGATTTCCCATCTAGCTGCTTCCATGGAAAATCCGTTTGGTCTTATTTTTGCAGTTTTGTAATCTGGGAACAAGTCTATCACTTCAATGCATTGTATATGTATGTATTGTATTTGTATGTATTGAAGTCTATCACTTCAATGTATTCTACACAGCCGACTATTTCCATAATACATATCATTTGTTGCATATATTGTGCTTTTTGAGTGACAGTTGTGGCATGTTGAGGTCAACACGAACAGAGTGACTAACCCTAACCCACTTTAAAAAATAGTTGACTTAATTACAGTAAGAAAAAATACTGTTAAAACAGATGCTATTTTCTTGTTTTTAGAATGCAGAAGGGATGAGGGCGTGACACTTCACAGTATGGTAGCTCTTTGCTCTCAGTCTCTGTGTTGCTGGAGGCTGACCTACTTCTACTCCTCAGGAAAGTTTGGCCGGTGTTACCAACTTGGAAACGTTCTAGCTAGATTAAGCAACTTTTCAGACCCTCTGAACGACTTAATTTCTAAAAAGCGACTAGCGACTTATTCAGGCCATTAGTGGAAAAGCGAGCAATATATTCAAATATAATGTATTGTAATGAATTCCTAGTAATGCTGATCTACAAGTTGGGCTGGCAAAAATGATCTTATTATTGTCTGATCTTGTAAGCCAGCTACTTTCATTGGTTCTGCCTTTGTGTGACTCCTCTGCTCCTCAGTGTTGCTAACTTAACCTCTTTCTCGAGATCATGAGTTTTTCTAAAAAAAAAGTTTCGTTTGACAAAACTCATGACTTTTGGGACAGCCCTCCATTCACGTTCCTCAATTGATAATAGCTGGCGACATTCTATACCTAGAGTGCTTTACAGTTTACAATAAAAGCAAGCAAACAAGAGCACACAGAATAAAAACAATGAAACACAATAGATACATGAGATTTCAAAAGAACAGTAATTCCAAGCAATGGTGAACAGATTGGTCTTTAGCTTGGATTTGAAAGTTGTCATCCCAGTACGAATACATGATAGCCCTCTTGTAAATCATTGGGTTATAAAGGTTGTAAAATGCACTAATAGCAGAGCTCTCCAGAGACAGAGAGAGAGACAGTGAGATTACTGCATAGATGATAGTTGGTTGCTGCTATATTCATAATCTAAATGAAAATACAGCTTCTTTAAGTACTGCAAAAACATTTTGATGATAATATTTGCATACTTTTACTTAAAGTAAATTCAAAAAAGTGAACTGGTTCTGAAACAGTCTCAAGTTTATACTGATGCCTCTATATGACCTACATAAGGAACAAGACTATCAGACATAAGATTGTCTATTTCTATATAGTTATTCTTAATGGTCATCATCTGTGCCAGATCCGGCTTAGCTCCCGAGGTAGGAAGACAACTCAGCGTAGGGCAACAACATCTCCTCCTCCAGCCACGGGTAGAGTTTTGCCTCGCTGCTACACCAGTCCTTGTGGGAGCCAACACCAACACCACGCTGCTGGAGGCCCAGGCTGTATTGCTGGCCCCTCTTGAGGGAAGGGAGGCACGGGAGAACCAGAACCAGGACTGAGAGGGGCAGACTGTCAGACCCTGCTGCAGTAACATGAGATGTTTTCTAAAGGGAGTCTGGTGCTCTGAAACACTAACCCTTTTGTCCACAGAGCTCGCCACAATCAACACAAAATGAAAGTTCTTTGTATTACCTTCAAGCTTCTAAATGCAGGACTTTAACTTTTGATGGAGTATGTTCACTGTGTTATCTGTTTTACCCCAATGTTGACAAAATATTACCAACTTAAAAAATACATAGATTGTGTAGGCAGCTGCAAGACACTGACATGAATTAAGACTATCATGTACATGCCTGCCTTGATATTACTAATTGTTATGGAACTGTTTTGCTATATTCCCACCATTACTTCTTTGTGGATGGGAGAGTCAGAATTTAGGCCCTTTAGTTTGGAAAAACATGTACATAACCTGCCACTCCTAACAGCTGGTTATACAGTCTTTTCTGACCCATTGACAATATCATTTGGTGTGTAGACTCAATGCATTCACTCAACTGCAGCTATGGACTGGCATTGTCAGTGCAACTTAAACAAGTCTTTTGAGAGAGGGGAACATATCATGGTCTAGTACACGCTTATGTCTGGAGTTGCTCTCTTTCTTTCGGGCTAATCATTTCTTAGCACAAGCACCTCCTTTGGTTTCAGTTGTTTCTTGTAGCGATCTTGTGTTGCTGGTTCCTCTTTATTCACATCACTTCTTTTCTGCCGGGTTGCTTTTCTGCCTGTTGGCTATGTTGGCTAGCCGTCCTCTCATGTTGCTGGCTGACCTGAGAAGTTAAAACAGATACTAAGATCAATAATAGAATTCTATACAAGCTACCAACTACTTTTTCAAATCCTAGAGTTTGCTCTTCAGATCTGCTACTAAATTTGTTGTGGTGGCCAATGATGGAATGAAAAACAATACTTGCATTAATACATACAATAATCCAACGACATAACACAACATATAGATACTATACACTTCTATTCTACAGATAACTCATTAATTACTAAATTATTTAGTACAGGGGAACTATTACTAAAGATGATGTTACCAATCAACTCTGTCTTTGCTTATGTTAAACAAGGAAATGCATAAAATATTACGATTACCCAGAGAGTTAAATAAACAGGCAGGCAGGATGAAAACAATCTAAGATTAAGTGGAATTCGTGACAGTTACCTTATCTTTCTTAGATTTTAATCTGATATTATTTGATATTTTATGACTAGTGCTCATATTGCTGAACATGCCTGTATTCTTGTCCAACATGTTTTATTATATTGTTGACACTGTGTCATCTTACATATGACTAAAACTAATAGAAATTAAAATAAAAATGTAAAATAAATAATAAAAAATGACTTAAAAACTGAGCTGAACCTACCATAGAGAGTAGAATAGAAAATTAAGTGTTGCCAGCGTTGACTAGTTTTAAAAGAAAATTAAAGCGGTCACCGTTCTTTGCAATGGCAACTCAACTAGTCTCTTTTAGGGGGAGACAGCAGGTCAACAGTATATGCCACATAGAAGTACATCATCTGAAAGCTGGGAACCTGAAGATTAATTTGCCATGCAGCTCAGCAGTATGTGTAACGGGTGTGGAAAGGACCCAGAAGCAGTACGACGGACACACGGAACGAAACTTCATTCCAGGCTGAACACACAACAGGCAAACATTCTTGGATCTGGATCGGTGTACGTTTTGATGGTCTTTTTTACCGTTTAGTCGAAAATACAGAAATACCATGGTTTTCTCGTTTTTCATTTTAAACCAAAAATGGAAAAGCAGAGTCGTATTTCCCTTTTTGTTGTCTGAATCCAAAAACAAAAAAACGACAGAACCAAAGTCAAATAACGAGCCAAATTAGTTTTTTGCAAATCCCTTTTTTGTTTTTTCCTTCGTCGGTGCTTGGGCCCTAATAATAATCCTTTGAATTCCAATAGGGCCTTCGCTGGCCCAACGTTGTCGGTTGCTCAGGCCCCAATTAAAGCTGCGAGCAGCGATGAACGGGCCCTCGCATCCTCCCGCACGTCGGGGGTGCCGGCGGGACTCCGGCCTGCGCGTCCGAGAACGTCCGCGACCGTCAGACAGCGCGCCCGCGAGTGAGAGATTTTTAATCCTGCGTGGACCGCCTGATGCTGGAAATGATGATTTGCAAATAGTCCGATGCTTCCTGTATCCGCTGCCTGGCGCAACAGAACACGTGCAAAGATGCATTATGTAGCTCTATATCAAATGTAAACCACATTGTGTAAAATTCATGTATAAATCGGATGGTGTTCATCACAAAATGCAGATTTCCTTTAGCCAGCAGGTGGCGCTGTGAGTATTAGTGAAAATTAGCTTGTAGTCATCCTCAGGCCATGAGTGTTATCAAGCATGTGAAGTTTGGGACCGTTTGGAACAAGTCCAGCTGAGTTACATCAGCTGTTTTCATGGTGAATCACTTAAAGTAGCCGCCCGCTAGGGCTAAACCATTGCGTCAAACGTAAAGCTTTTCATAACTTTTAATCACAACGGTCTTGACATTGTACTGACAAAATTTAAAGTGGATCTGACAAAGTCCCTAGGAGGAGTTCATTAAAGTATCGCAACTAGAAATAGGCTAAAATCTACGGAAAAATTACACAAAAATCGAAATGGCTGATTTGCGGTATGGTTTGGAGCATGGTCCCAAGAGACTTTCTTTTAAGTATCCATGGGATACATGTGCCTACCAAGTTTCATACATTTACCTGTAATGTAGTACTGGGGCTGCTCTTTTGAATTATTGTAGGGGGCGCTATGGAGACAATTTACAACAACCAAGCCAAGAACCCATACAAAATATGTCTTCCCATCACTTATGACACATGTACAAAGTTCCATGACTTTTTGAGCATCCCAAGCCACTCAACCATCAGCTTCTTTTTCATGGCGAATGATGCGTTGCCACTCTAAGTCAGTTCCCGTGATGAATTCTGTTTTAAGTGTATTTGGACATCAGGATAGAAGCTTAACATAACATAAAGTATATTGTTCCCAATTAATGTTATGGCTGATCAACATTCTTTTGAAAATGATCCCGTAAAGTTTCAATCCAGTTTAAATATAAAGGATTGAATGTTACTAAAAATGTGCAGGTCTTTACAAGAAGAATTTCTTAAAATCATCTGCAGAGATGGTCCCATATGCCCATATCTTTAGCAAGCCAAATTAATATATTGTTAAAAAGACCATCCTCTCGAAATTATTTGTTTGTACCAATGTATTCCAACATACATGAAAAAAAGATGTTTTTTTGGCAGCATAGATAACATTCCGATTGGAATAAAAGAATACCCAGAATAGGGAAGGCACTCTCACAGAGACCCAAATCAGCAGGAGGGGTGGGGTTGCCAAATTTTCACCTTTAATATTGGGTATGTAATATAAGGATGATGACCTACTGGCTACCAAACAACCTCCTTTATTGCTAAACATAGAAAGGGCATATTGCTCCCCCTCTTCTCCTAAACTATGGTACTCTCAGTCCTAGCCACTGTAAACCCTGCATCATTAGAAAATCCAGTAGTTTCTCTTACACTCAAGATTTGGTCCCAGGTCTGAAAATATTATGAATGGCAGGTTGGTTCCCTCCAAAGTCCTCTCATTGAAAATCACTCTTATGCGCCCTCATTTTAAATATTTATGTATCAGGTATTTCCATAATTTGAGCAGATTTTAAAAAATCATTAAATAACTGCAAGTGCAGAACTTTGTTAAACACAGTAATCCATCATGCTAACTCTCCAAACTAGTCTCAAATGGAACCGATACTTCGGCGAGATCCTGACAGTAATAGAGGTATATCAAATATATATAAGAAACTGTCTTAGTTGACAAGTACAACAACTATGGAACAATTGAAATCAGCTTGGAAGGATGACCTTCATAAAGAGATCAGCTGTAGAACAGATTCATAGCACTTCAGTGTGTGCTAGACATGGCCTCCTGCAATTTAAGATAATACATTGTTTACATTGGTCTAAACAAAAGCTCAGTAGGATACTTCCAGAAATAGATCTCTAATGTGAATGCTGTGGGCTTGCACCGGCATCACTAGCGAAGTCAATGCAACCATAACTGGACACCGAAAACATTATGCAGTTTGCTGCAACAGAATACGAGATTAGCTGTGGACAGACACAGGTGCATACTCAGTCACTCACAGATGCACACACACACACAGAGACGCAACCAATCTCATGATCTCCTGGCAGAGATAATAAAGAAACAGTCTCCTATTGGTTTCGCATCATTTTAGAATATGAAACTAACATAACAATGTTTCTTTCATTTATTCTGTTTTACACAGGGACCGGATTGATCCTTTCGCATTTAAGTTCCAGTTCAAGAACGTGGAATACTCCTCGGGACGCAACAAGACCTTCCTGTGTTACCTGGTAGATTTGGGGAACACAGCTGATGGGCTACTGAGGGGCTATTTGGAGGATGAGCATACGGGGTCGCATGCTGAGGAGGCCTTCTTCATACATTGCATCCCCAACTACGATCCTTCACTCAGATACACAATCACCTGGTACATACCTCTCTTAAACTGTCAGATGGTATGTGACATAGAAAATGTAGCTCATTCAAAGATGACTCATTTTCAGTCTGGACAGTATTTTTTTGTCACGTCTGAAAATATTGTTTCCATGACAATTTTGAAAGTGTTGTCACTTGCACTCGTATAGATGCTTGTATGTTCTTAAATGCAAAAATAAACCTAACATGCATTTTTGAGTTCTGGTCAAATATACATCACAACAATCTCCTAAACGTTATACTGACAAATGTCAAATTTTAATTTTATTTTAACTTTATATTGTATGTTCCAGATTCAGTATGTTTATGTTTTTACAGAGAAAATAAGAACTTCAAACGATCAGCAGAAATTTTTTTTCCTTTAGTTCATTTTATTATGAAATACACAATAAGTTATTATAGCCAGATGAATTCCCCATATTATACTATGTGTCTGTTGTTATACATACAGCACTATCAATTGCAATTCAGATCTTATTTTTTGGGGACTTAAAATAATCGTTTTATGTTGACATGTCAGAAACTCAACAATCGATCAAATGCCAAAGTAACTGCATCATTCCTCTAATTCTAGAGAAATAAAAACTAATGTGAAAAGTCATGGAAAAACAAGGTCAAGTTTGAGTAGGCTACTTCCAGATGTGAAATGTTTAAAGCAGATGTGCTCTCAGGTTTCAGTTCTCTCCTTCAGTGTGAACTGACCATGTCATGTACAATTGGTTGCATGCCCCTTTTAGCTCCATACTTGTACACAAAAATTAAAAGTTCTATGTCCACAAATTAAATCACATCTGAAAATGATTATGCTAATAATGCACTGATACAATTATATTCAGAGATATGTGAAATGAAAAAACGTTTCTCTTCATTCTGTTCATTTCAGGTATGTGTCTTCCAGTCCATGCTCTGCTTGTGCAGCAAAGATAGCTGAAGTGTTGAAGGCCAGGAAAAACATCAAGCTGAGCATCTTTGCTGCTCGGCTGTTTGAGTGGGAGGAAACAGAGATCCAGGCCGGACTGAAGGCCATGCACGCTGCTGGCTGTAAGCTGAGAGTGATGAAGCCTCTAGACTTCTCCTACACCTGGGATACATTTGTGGAGAATGAAGAAGAACCTCTGAACCTGTGGGAGGACTGCAAAGAAAACTATGAGTACTACCAGGAGAAGCTGGCTGACATTCTACAGTGACCACAGTAAGTGTGATAGTGACGGTAGGGATACAGGCAGTCTATGTGAAGAAAGGTCAAACATGCAACGAAGGTCCAAACCATTGAACTGTGGACCTTGTGATTACATGGTTATCTTAACCAGGTGGCTAATATACACTCCAATGCTCTTCTTTTTGCTCTACTTCATGATTGATCATTATTGTGTCTTATTGTCTAACAACAATTTCCTCAAACTGTATAGACTGATACAAAAATAATACTCTCAATCATCCCTTGTGGCCCACTAGAAGTGTGCGGTGGTGTCTGCACAGAGACCCGGCCCTCTGCCTGTACTCTCTCTGTTCTTCTTATTGTCCTGTGTTCAGGACTCATCTGGACATCAGTAAAGAGCTCTTGGAGCCCATGTTGGGTTGTTACCCTCAGCCAATAAGCACGGTGTGCAGCACAGTGTGCAGCCCGTTCTCATTCCTACGTCAAACACTGCCGCCCTGTGTGTGTCAGCCCTGTGTTGTGTCGAGTAGTGATTATAACTTAACTATAGAGATTCTAATTAAATGGAGACAAAACGTTATTTCTACTCCCTGGAGATCATAAATCATTGAATATAAAAACAACTGATTGAAATCAGCTGAGACATGTAGCTCCTTGGTTTCTTTACAGGCCAGTCGAGTTCAGTTACTTAAATCCTTCTTGAACTCAAATTGTTGCCAAGCCGGTAGTATTCTGCATGCATTTGAATTTATTAATTATCAGTAACCAGCCAGTTATAATCAGAGTCATTAATAAATGAATCTGGTTATAAATCGAGTCTGCTCAGCAGTAATAGTTTGGTAATGTATCATGATGTAGCTATATGCAGCTGCTAACAGAGCCATGCTGAAACAATCACACTCATTTGTTGCACAGGTTTAGTTTTATTGTGTGGGAGCAGTCTTAGTCAAAGGTGAAAGGACACAGATATGGTGGAATTGAATGTGTCAGCCTTCCAGCTAGAAGTGGCAACATGAGATGCTCTCTGTGATTTATCAGATACCTAGTTTGTGCTCATCTTAAATGGATTATTGTTGTGCTTTTTTATGTTGAATATCATCTAAATTAGTTTTTTCATAGCCTTTATATGTTCTTTTCTTTCTCTAATCCCATCTTCTTTCTCTTCTTTAGCTTGGTACGGCAGCTTATCTTTATTATGAGATGCATTTTGAGCTACATGAGGTCATATATTGTAGACTTATGGGGCCATAATGTGATTATATATGATACGTGATGAGTGATTGAGTGATGTAAGTATGCAGCCAACACACTCACACTCCCAACTCATCAAATACCAAGGCTTGGTCAGTGGCCCTAAACTTCAATCTATGATGCCCGAGTTACCCCTCTAGCGCCAGAGACGGCGCTCCAATGTTTCCAAATCAATCTCACTTTTCACAGGAAATTAGATTTAGGCAACAAAACGGCGTAGTAAGGGTTAGGAAAGAGTGTGGTTGACATTAACTTGAATGCGTAACGACTCACATAAGTAGAAACTCAAATGACTCACAGTACTAACAGTATTAAGGAGTCACATGACTAATGTGACAAAATAAGTCAGCTTTGACTTTAACTTCAGATGGGACATGAACAGCTGTCTTCTGGGTGAAAGTCCTGAGTTTCAGTCCTACTTACCACTTGCTGTAGCACAGACATCAACCAAAACTACAAAGTGAGCTTTGAGACCTACCTCCTCGCACTGGTTGTTCTACTCGTGTGATTAGAATAGAGCTCCTAGAGACTGAGATGATGACGAATTGAAGTGGATCCACATGCAATTGAGGACATACTCAGGCACTCAAAGACAAAAACAATGTACTGGTAGATCTTCATGGGATCACAGCATGAGAGTAGCTGCTTCCACATTCTGCTCTAACGAGAAGAAGAATGGTCAGACTCGCCTCATACACTGTGTATGGACAGACATCGTGGCAAGATGTAGTTGATGTCCTTAATGACTGTAGAAAGAGGAGTTCATTAGTAAGCTGTGGGAGGGGTGTACTCACCTTGTTGGCTTGCAAAATGGTATCTGTGTGACAACAAGAGCTAAAGACCATTGAGTCGGTTGTGTGCAGACTTATTTGCTCTGGCAAATAACGAAAACATTGATGGCCCTCGTCATATGCCTTTATCAAACTTACTGCGTTCCTAGCAGATCTATTAGAGCTGATTTCCTGATTCATTTGGAAGTCTCTAGCTCATTTGGACAGCATCAAATTCCTGGGGCTCCAGATTACTGAAGACCTCACATGGTCCCTGAACCCATCACACCTGGCAGAGGCTCTTCTTCCTGAGGAAGCTAAAACAAGCTGGCCTTCTACAGAAGTGTGATCGAAAGCATCCTGTGTCAGTGCTTTACTGTGTGGTATGCCAGATGCACAGCAGAGAACAGGAGGTACCTGGCCCGTGTGGTTAAAGCAGCACAGATGATTGTGGGAGTTACCCTGCCTGACCTGGACACTGTGTATGCTGGCCGCCTCCAGAAGAAGGCCAGAAACATCTGTAAAGACATCAAACACCCGGGTCACTCTCTGTTTGTTCCACGACCATCAGGAAGGAGATACAGGACCATCAAAACCCGGACTAACAGGCTGAGGAACAGCTTCTTCCCCAGAGCGGTTTCCTCCATCCCACCCACCACCCCACCCAGCTCACACCGGACAGTGCTGCGGTGAAACAAATATAGTCAATAACACGTCACTTTAACTAAGCACATTTTTCACTTTGAAGCCATTAATGCCTGTGCTTTATCTTGTTTTATATTGTGTATATTTATTTAATGTCTTGTTTTAAATCGTCTTGTCTTAATGTTTTTATACACTTTTTTAATGTTGCTGCTGTACTGACTGATGAGTCGCCAACTTAATTTCGGTGTATGTTTTTACAATGACAATAAACATCCTTATCCTTATCTGGACATGTTTGGTCTTACGAACGCCTCTGGAACAAGTCCACAGTGTTTGTCAGGGAGGAGAGTTGGTACTTCTGGAAGGTGTTTCTCCCCTGGCTTTACACACATGACTGTGGTGCACTTTGGTAATGTTCATTTTGTCAACAAAAAGTAATCAGTCAACAGGTTTTCATTTTCCTTTTTCTTATGACAAGAGAAAATATGTTGTTTAATTTACTTCCTTTCTTACCATAAAAAGAAAAGAATGAGGTCAGGAATATGATTATTTAATGATACTGAAGAATGAAGTGAAAGCATGTTTAATACTGAGTGTATGTATGACTCTAAGATGAAAGGCATGGTCACTTCTTAGAATATTTGCTTTATTGAGGGAGCTTTTTTTCTTTTAATGATAATGATGGAATCTGCTTTTTTATTTTTGATTAAATATTTGCATAAATGAAGTTGGGCATTTGACCAGTGTATTGTAATACATATAGATACAGTGCTTTTTGAAAACGCATAACTCTCTTTTTCTCTCTGTTGACACAGGAATCCGGTTGGGAAGGTGTGCACCCTCGATCAACATCATCACTTCTTTACAAATGATTCATGTTGACATTCATATTATTGTTGATGATTGATAGTGACACTGATTCAAAGTGCAGATGGATCTGTGAGAGTAGAAGCTCAGTGTGTATGAGTGTGTTCTCTTTGTGTGTTTATCAATGCTGTGATCAGATCTCATGTGTCATGGTGAAAAACCCTCCGAACCACATCTGATAGTAAACCCTCACATCTGGTGTCCTCTGGGGTTGTCCAGGGCCCCGTTCCTCGTACGTGGTTCAGCTAAGTCGATCAAATGTCCTATTAGCCAGCCTAAATTAACCAGATGATTGATGTCAGGCTATCTCGGTTTCTCCAAGGCTGATCCACTCAAACAGTCTCTTTAATTTGAACCAGATGATCAGGATCAGGATAATTGCGCGTGCCCGTCCTACTTCAAAAGGGGGAAGCGTTGATCACCGAAACCATGATTTTCTAACAGTACAATGGCAAATAAAGTCAAAGAAAGAGCCTCTTTTTACTCCGCTGACGAGCAGGAGATGATCATGAACGCATATAAGGAATTCAAGACCATAATCACGGCAAAATATAACACCGCCACCGCTGCGAAGGCTAGACAAGAAGCACGCAAAATATCACAGACAAGTTAAATGCGTAAGTGTTGGGAAATGTATCGGCTCATTTTAATGCCTCATCACCCCAATCAATCAGATGATATGTCTTTAAATGAGCTGCTGGCAGTAGGCTTAATGAATGCATCATCCAATGAGATCTATAGCGACAATAATGATCTCAACTCTTTCACAATAAGATAAAAACAAGCCCAAAGAGTATCTACTGATACTCATTAATATGAGGATATATGTACTGTATGCGCTTATGTATCATGTACTATATATGTGTATATACATGTATGTGTAGATTACCATATAGAACTAGCAGTTTGAATATGTGTGTGTGAATCTGTGTATGGGCGGATCAGTGTGTGTGTGTGTATTATTCATCATCAGACATTCAATCAACTGAAGCAGTGAAGATAAATAGTGTGTGATTCTCTCTATTCTTATCATGAGTCCACCTTCATCATGTTCTACAGTAATGATATGCTGGTGTACTAATAACACTGCCATATCATTATGACTGCTTTAACCCTCATGTATGCAACACAGCCATCAAGAGGACATGGGAGCAAGTAAACACTAACACACACACATTACTCAGAATGCTGAGTCAGTACAATATGTGCCATGGTAATGTAATGAACACATCCATAAGTTTATTAAGCGCCAAATAAACTTTACGAACAGCACGGCATGCAGCGGCTTTCCCCATGTTCTCCGCATCGCCAACACTGTACAAAAATGTACCACTCGCAGAACAGCTCAAGGCTGCATCCAGTGTGTGAGACATCAATGCTCGGCTGCAGCGTGTGGTGTTCAATGTATGCTCCAGAAGGTCTGTAAATAAATGATTTCTTGTGGGCAGAATGGATAGCGCTCGTATAGGAAGTCATCATGATGCGATAACGGATCTTGGTGATGTGGAAGAACTCTCTCCCTATAAAACGCTAATCTAACTAATAGCCTCCTTCATCAGTGGATCTCTGAGGAAGGGAGCTGTACATTAATGCAATAGAGGCTTCTTAGTTTGCTCAGCTGCTTTTAATGGATCACTGTGTGTCTCACTTTACATGCATTTCCGGAAGCTCCTGTATAACCCCCAGTATATGCGCAAGCGCATTAGACTACCGTATATGACAGGAGCTGCCATTTTTTCCGGGGGAGTGGCAGGTTATCCAGCTAACTTCAGTTAGCCTGCGCTGGAGCAGGTTCAAGCTTATGGATGTGTTGCCATGGTGATTTTGCCAAACTTGCTTCGTGGAACCGAAAAGCCTGATTTACGTCATCTTATCCTGAAAAGTATCCGGCTAACTCAGTTAGCCACGTACGAGGAACGGAGCCTCCTGCCTCCTGCCTCCTCACCACAGAAAGCTGTCTTATTGATAGCTCAGCCTCAAGCCGTTTTACGCCATTCAGATGCAGAGAAACTTGTTAGGGAGATAATTATGAGGTCTACACCCCTGTGACCTCATGCTGTAAGCTACTGGACCTATTGTAGGATTTTGTGAGAATGTATGCTAACACTAAAAGAAGAGCAGCAGATACAGGGGCGCGAGACAGCAGCACTTTGATTGACAGCTCAGCCGTTACTTTAAAGAAGTCAGAGTAACGAACAAGGTAGGTCACCAACATTACATTAACTTTCAACAAAGTTGGTATTAATACTTGGCAATATGAACCCCCATGAAGTATTCTATAAATATAATAAGAAAATAAAGTCATCTTTTAGCTAAGATAAAGTAAATTTCTCCCATTAGATGTCAGTATAAATTACCGAAGACCAGCAGCTAAACTTTACCTTAAAAAGGAGCACTTAACTACCATTAGCTTCATAATGTTGTCACTTAACGCTAGCGGCGTTACATGTAAGTTAACGTTTATGTCTACCAAAGTCACTTCGGGGACAGACTGAATTTTTCGTTAACTTGTAGCTATTGAAATTATGAACGAGTAGCAGTCAGTTTGGTCTTTAAAGCTGCCACAGTAGTTTTAAGTTAACGTGGTACAAGCACACACCCCATAACATTAGCTATGTAACTAGTGTTGCATTGACTCTAGCTACATTTAGCATTAACTGTTGTCTCTAGGTAAATATCAATATCACTCTACAGTAATAGTAATCGACCACTCACAGTAAAATCACTTTCCTTCGTCTTCACGTTTGTCTGAAACTTCTATATCTTCGGTACTTCTACACACACAACTGTCTCTTGCCGCATACCCTTCATTATGTTACCGGATCCAGAAACACATTTGTTTATTGGCAGGCTATTAACCAGCGCGGTGTGAGCATGTGCCTCCTTCTCTAGTGGAGTGTGCAACATCAACAACGATCAGGCTATTGATATTAATAAGATATGTTATGGTGTGTTTGTTTCATTGCCTCATGTATTTTTATGTGTCTGTATTTGAATGGCCCTCCCAAAAAATGTTGGAACTGCAATGAAGCCCTACTCAAGACTGCCTGCAGTGACAGTGAAAATTATATCAATTAAAGTCCATAAATGGTCTTTTTCTGTTGGGGGGGGGGGGTTAACAGACTTGTCAGGCCATACCAATTCAGTGATTGCTATCACGGACGGCACCAAGTTATTGAAATTCCTAATGTTAGAAGACCTGGCAAACCAGGTTGATAAAGGGAAGTGTTATGTTAGCAAAATATATTGAATCAGCTCATTTGGTGCAGATAATGCTCAGGCGAAAAAATATGGCCTTATATCTTTGTGCCCCATTATGGTACCCAGCCAGCTTGGAGAGGAAGTTTAAGTAAAAAACAAATTTCACATATGTATATAAATTTGCATTGTAGGCTACTGCAGACTCTGCGGTAGCCTACAATGCAAAATTTATATAGTATCTCTCTGCGGCTCAGAGAGATGCTTTATTGAATTTTGAGGTTTTTAAAGAACAGAATGTCCTCCTACTGTCACATTTAGCTTGAGGAAATCCAGCCACACCACTGTGAACAGGGACCACCAATCCCAATAAGGATTGCCTTGGTTAAACAGGTAGGGAGTGGATGTGTTTATTTCAAATATGAAGCTCAGCTGTCACTTTGTTGAAATACTGGATTTCATACATATTATTTTAGATACTGAAAAATTGCTTCTGTTTTTTACAGTGTCACGACACGGCTCAAAAGGCAGTAACATGAGGGAGACAAGACGAGTTAAAAGTAATAAATACACATTTATTTAGTGGACCAATAACTAAACTAAACTAAACAAACAAACAAAAAAACAAACCAACAAACAGCCAGGTCCTCCACACAGGAGTCGGAGAGGAGAGGAGCACCAGCCAAAGAAGTGTGTCTTTATAGCTGGCCACTTCCAGCATGCTCAGGTGGGGCTTGTTAGCTGCCGATCAACATCCTGCAAGAAGAACTGACAGGAAACAGACACAGACCCCTGGTGGAATCTTCTTGTCTGACAACAGTCAGACAAGTAAGTTATAAAGTCACTTATCTGACTGTGTCCTACCTTTTAGTAGGAAGTAAGCACTGCTCACACAGCATGTTTTATTATTGTAGGAAGAAGCAGTGATGAAGGTTGTGTTGAAGAGGGAGGCAAACTTCACACAACTACAAATTTGAGTGCCGGTCAGACTGACCCATATGAACTTATGGGTCTCAAGCACAAAGCGCTTATACAGAGGTTCAAGTGAGTGAATTACTTTATTTATTGTATTAATGCTCCCCTTAGGATTGTTCTTTTACTGGCCATCCAATTAACAGATTTATTTTCCAGAACATCATTGGTGCCCAAATGCATCAAATTTCAATGTGCAAAGTAATGGTAGTCCTGGTGTTGTTGAATGACCACATTGCGCTTGTATGTACAGTTTCTCCTCCGCGAATTGCCACCTTAATGTGGTGGAGGAGTTTGAGTGGCTCAGTGATCCTGGGAGCTATGTTGTCCGGGGCATTAGCCCCTGGTAGGGTCTCCCAAGGCAAACAGGTCTCAGGGGAGAGCCCAGACTAAGAGCAGTTCAAAACGACCCTAATGATAAGCAGCCCATGGATTTCAGCCACCTCGCCCGGACCAGCGAAACCGGGGAACCCTCCCGGAGCCAGACACAGGAGGGGAGCTCATCGGCGAGCATCTGGTGGCCGGGCCTTCGCCCATGGGGCCCGGTCGGACCCAGCCCGAAGAAACAGCATGGAGCAGCCACCACCCGCAGGGACAAGCATCGGGGTCGGGTGCAATGCAGACCGGGCTGCGGGTCAGGCGGGAGGCCTGGGCGAGCCGATCGCCGGCAGCATAGACTAGCTCTGGGGACGTGGAACGTCACCTCGCTAGCGGGGAAAGAGCCAGAGCTGGTGCAGGAGGTGGAGCGATACCAGCTAGATATAGTTGGACTCCCCTCCACACACAGCGCTGGCTCTGGAACCAAGCTCCTGGAGAGGGCTTGGACTTTGTCCATTTCCGGAGTTGCCCAGAGTGAGAGGCGGCAGGCGGGAGTGGGGATACTCACGAGCCCCCGGCTGAGCGCCGCTGTGTTGGAGTTCTCCCCGGAGAACGAGAGGGTTGCCTCCATGCCCCTACTGGTTGCGGGGAGCAAGGCTCTGAATGTTGTTTGTGCTTACGCACCAAACAGCAGTTCAGAGTATCCGGCCTTCTTGGAGTCAGTGGGAGGGGTCCTGGGGTCCTGGAAGGCCTACCGACTCCATAGTTCTCCTGGGGGACTTCAACGCTCACCTGGGCAATGGCGGAGAAACTTGGCGGGGGGTGATTGGGAGGAACGGCTTGCCCGATCTGAACCCGAATGGTGTCTCGTTATTGGACTTCTGTGCTTGCCACGGTTTGGCCATAACAAACACCATGTTCGAACATAAGGTGGCTC